AGTCCCGGCCTGTCCCGTCCTCCCCCGTTCCCAAATCCCGGTGATCCCGGTGTGCCACAGCCCGGCGGGGTCACCCTGCCCTGGGGGGGATCCCAGTGGGAATCCCGGGGGGGATCCCAGGGGGGATTCAAGGGAGGATCCAAGGGGGATCCCAGGGAGGATCCCAAGATGTTTTCCAAACCCTTGGGGTGACCCCGGGTGGATTTCCCTGTGACCCCAGAGTGGATCCCAGAGTGGATCCCAGAGTGGATCCAGGACTATTTCCAGGCCCTTGGAGTGGCCCAGAGTGGATTTCCCTGTGACCCCAGGATGAATTCGAGGGTGGATCCCAGGGAGGATCCCAAGATGTTTTCCAAACCCTTGGGGTGACCCCGGGTGGATTTCCCTGTGACCCCAGAGTGGACCTCAGGCTGGATCCAGGACTATTTCCAGGCCCTTGGAGTGACCCAGAATGAATTTCCCCATGACCCCGGGATGAATTCGAGGTTGGATCCCAGGGTGGATCCCAAGATGGTTTCCAAACCCTTGGGGTGACCCCGGGTGGATTTCCCTGTGACCCCAGAATGGACCTCAGGGTGGATCCCAGGCTGGATCCAGGACTATTTCCAGGCTCTTGGAGTGACCCAGGGTGGATTTCCCCATGACCCCGGGTGGATTTCCGCATGACCCTGGGATGAATTCGAGGGTGGATCCCAGGGTGGATCCCAAGACGGTTTCCAAACCCTTGGGCTGACCCAGGGTGGATTTCTCCATGATCCCAGGGTGGATCCCAAGGGGGATCCCAGGGTGGATCCCAGGGTGGATCGTGAGGTGGATCCTGGGGTGGATCGTGAGGTGGAATCATGGAATTCCAGGGTGGATCCCAGGGTGGATCCAGGACTGTCTCCAGCCCCTTGGGGGTGGATTTCCCCATGACTCGGGGGTGAATCTGAGGGTGGATCCCAGGAGGAATCCCAGGGATGGATTCAGCCCTTTCCAAGCCCTTTTCCAGCCCCTTGGGGGTGACCCAGGGTGGATTTCCCCATGACCCCACACTGGGACATCCCCCGGGGGCACTCACAGGGTGGATCCAGGGCAGGAATCCCGAGCAGGACCGAAGGAAGGAGCTCAAACACCCCTGGGGTTGGGTCGGTGCCTTTATTGTGCAGCTGGATCCCATCAGGATCCCCTGGGAATTCCGGGGTGCAGAGGGGCTGAGCTGGGGGGGCTCTGGGGGCGCTCTGGATTTTGGGATCTGCAGCAGGAGAGGGGAGGGTCAGGCGTTCTCCCAGAAGAAAGTGTTGCAGGCCACGGTCAGGGTGGCCACCAGGACCACGAACTCCTGGAAATCCACCTCTCCATCGCCGTTCTCATCCAGGTCCTGCATGATCTTCTCCACGGCCCCCGCGTCCTTCTGGGCCTGGGGGTGACACAGGGTGAGCCCAGGCGCCGTTCCCCTGGGAAATGGGGGGAAAATGGGGGGAAAGGAGCCCTCCCAGTGGCCAAACTGGTCCCAGTTACCTCCAGGAAACATCCCAGCTCGCTCTGCAGCAGCTCCTTGAGCTCCTTCTTGCTCAGCTTGTACTTGTCGCCCTCCTTGCCCGAGTAGTGGTGGAAGACGTTGATCAGGGTCTCCATGGCCCCTTCCAGCTGCGATGCCATGGCTGCGGCTGCGGGACCCCCAGCACGTCACCTGCCAGCCCCCCTGTGTGGGTGACACGTCCTGGTCACAGCCCCCCGATTCCTCATTCTCCAAATTCCTGATCCCCCAAAATTCCTAAACCCCCGAATTCCTCATCTCCCAAATTCCTCAGACCTCAAATTCCTGATCCCCC